AGTCCCAGGGAGGCCTCTTATTTATATGGAGCTGCAAGTCCACAGTGAAGAGTGTGGCATCAACCAAGGCTCGAAGCAAGCACTGGATCTGCAGCAATAAACACAAACCAGGTCAGGTAACCAGCCACACCCTGACTTGGGGCATGACTACGAGGAAGTGCATAGATGTTCTCCGTTGACATATTTTTGCAACACAGTATCCCTAAAGCCAAGTACAGAGGAGTCAAAATGAACCAGGCACAGAAGGGGAGATAGTACAGGGATATGCCAGATTCTGTAAAGGCATCTGGGGTCACGGATGAGGTCACATTGCTTGCAAACCCCCACAACCACGGTTCTGTCTGCAGCTGTGCCAAGGCCAGCGTTTTCCAAGTGTCTCCTTGACACCTATTGGAAAACTAGGGAACATAGGACCCACATGATTATCCTATGGCAGAAATCCAGGCACAACTCTTCACGCCAGGTGACACAGTCTCCAGATCTATAGCAATCCAAAAATGCAGTTTTCCAGATCATCAGCCTCCTGATGTTTCAGTGTCAAAATTAGTCCCCATCTGCTGTCCCCAGGACAAAGTCAACACCCAGCTTCAAAAGCCTGAAACTTCCAATGCACAAAGCCTACTGGTTAGGACTCACTTCTCGGGCCCAGGAAGTACAGGGGCAACCTCTAAGCTTAATGAACAAAAGAGGAGCTTGTAGACTGCTGAGGGGTTGCAGGGGACAGGTAGAAGGAAGGGTGGTGGAGCCATCACGAAGAACCTTAGCCACGTGTATACAGGAAGGCATCTCCTAGCCTTAGGAAGCAGAGGGTTAACCTTCTCTCCTTTTTCACAGCACAAAACTGGCAAACTAGGGCTTCAAAAAGCAATCCAGGCAAGGAATGGAGACATAGATGTAAATTTTCCCAGCATTATACTGGGAAGACAAATCATTACTTTTCACCAGAGCATCTTTGCAGTAAAAACACCCTACCAAACCATTCAGTAACTCTCAAAAAATATTCTGCAGCTCTTATCAGATTCTCAGTGTTAAGGAAACCTTCCTGTCTGATCATTCAGGACCACTCTGACAATCAAATTCTTACCATCCCAGATTTTCACTGCTGGGACCAAAGCACCTTCACAGCAGTGCCCCACTTACCACACACCACACTCACAGTCAGTTCCCTCACCAGCTCAGCCCCAGGTTTTCCATAGCAGAGTCCCACACAACTGGTTCCTTTAACACCAAAACACCTTGAGGTGGTGCCACCCAGGGAGGGACCCCCAACAAAGGAATTCCTTGGATATTGTACCCTTACAGTCTGTGCATCCATTCCAGTGGTGATATTTAGTCTGGGGTCTCTCGCTGTTCACTGGCTCCTGCAGAGTCTCTGGGTGACCAGCTACCCCCCGGCCATGCCGCAGGGCCCCAAGCCCTTTGTCAGGGAAAGGGTCAGTGCCAGGTCATGGCCCCTTGCCAAGGGATCCAGCCATTTCCCCCCACCCCAGACGTAATCTGCAGCTCGCACCTCAGCTGCACACCAGCTATTTGCACTAGTGTGTTCCTCAACACCCAGGTCAGACAAATTTTCTCTCAGCTCATTAGGACAGAGATACAGTGCCCCAAAAAACAACTGTTCACAAACCCAAAACATCTGGTAACACAGAGAGAGGAAGGCAGCAGCACCCTAAGGAACTCAGACAAGGGTCTGAAGCACAAACATGCACACAAGTAAAGTAGATACATGCTGGGTTTATTCTGGAATGAATTCATGCCTTTCAGCATGCAATGAAACACTGGATCCAGATTTCAACAACCATTGCAGGAATAGGCACATCTAGTTTATTCTGTTCAGATGTGGAATTTGCCAGGAGAGGGAATAGAATTCATGACACTGGATAAACAACTATTATTAAGTTTTACTTAGGCTAATCCTGTATGCTGGCAGGGAAATGGACAAAATGGACAGTCAGGGTCTCTTCCACCTCTGATAACTAGGAGTTGTATTTTATCTGCTCTGTCCTACTCACATTCTAACAAGAAACTAGACATTTTAGTAGATCACTTATATCCAATGCTTAAAAATTGTGTTACTACACTGTACAACAGAACTTTGAGCTCTCTGTTGATACTTTCAAGAATATTTACAGGACTAGCCAGTTTCAAGCAAATATTACAGAACAAGGCCAAAATACAAATTTCCTGCATGCTCTTACACAGCAAACCTGATTTTTTTTTTAAAAAAAAAAAAAAGGAAAAACCAAACTCCATACAGGGGACAAATATCTCACAGGAGACATTACTCAGGAGACATTACTCAGGTAAGAGTCTTCCATCAGGCCAATCCCAAACATACCCAGCAACCAGGCACAGTGATTACTGGCAAATATCAAGAGCACTGGTGAGAAACATCAGAGTCACCTTGCAATGACACCCCAGCTGGGTGAGGAGAAGGAAGGAGAAATAAAGACCAAAGGCATCACCTCTGTCAGGAATTACTTCTCTCAGATCTACTACAGCTCATGGATTTGGGCTTTGATGGTCAAACTCCAACACACTTTGGAGTTTGAGGAGAGGCTGAGAAAGCCTGTAATGAAAAATAAAAACTGACATTTTTCACTCATTCTGTTACTGCATCTTGCTCCAGCAAGAATGCTGAGTCCCACCAGCCCCATTCTAAGGTCATGCTTTCTACGAAGTTCCCAGTCAGGAATTTTAAGTAGCAATATGGAAATTAGTGCTTTGAAAAGGGGTAACTAGTTGCTCTGGAGACCAGCAGTGCCACAGTATCTTTATAGATCTGGCCATGCCACTTCTAACTTTTTCTCTCTCTAACTGCCTGCTCAAGTGCTTCTAATCGCTATATACCATCCAACAGCTTCCTCTGAAATGTGTGTACACACCACTTATTAAAGGCTGGCAAACACAGGTAAGTCAGTTCATGCTTTGAGGTATGGGTCAAAGGAATGTTGGTTTAAAATGGGAGTAAAGCTACCCCTGCCCCTACCTTCCGGCAGCCTGACGTACATTGCTTAATGTATGGATTGGCCCTTGCCTTGCATCCAGCATAAACAGGGCCATATGAGGTTAATAATACTAGGAAAGACATGAATTAGATGGAATGTAAGAGCTTGACTGCTAATAATCCATGTGACCTCGAAGCCCTGGACAGCCAGGGGTCTACTACATGATAAGCTACAAGATGATAGATACAAATCCTTAGGCTCTGAAGACAAGGACTCTGACAAATAAATCTACCAAGCCTGACTATGATTAAGACACTTCTGTCTCATATATTTGATGCTCAGAGCTGCAGATCTTACTCTGTGAAGTAACAAAGTAACAAAAAACATCTGGAAAAGAAAAATCACACTAGGGATAGTACTTTGTATATCCTAAACAATGTAAAGTCCAGGTTAAAAATCATTTCACTAACGTGAAATTTCCCCAGGGAAGAAATGGTCCTATATGCTGGGAGCCTCGCTATAGGAGAAGCTGAGAGACGGCAGCCTGTAGGGACAGTTGCAGAATTCAGTCCTGTGTGGAAGTACTAACTTGTGGTTTCTCCCCTAAAAACAATCTGCCTCCCACAGTCTAGGACAGAAATTATACCCTTTCCAAAACAGCGCAGGACAAGTTTAGAGAGGATGACTCTCTTTTGGATAAGAGCCACTGGTTGTACTGCCTCCAAAGAAACAATTTCACCTGCAGTTGGTCTGTACAGAAACAAACTAACTTCACACCATCATGCCTTTCTTTGATTCATGCACCCACAGCTGTCATATATACATCAGGATCCTCTTCAGATGGGCTGACAGCCTGGGACAGTGCTGTATGCTGGTTCCTGACTTTCTCTGGACCAGGACTTCCCCAACAAAATATTCCTGCCGTGAGCTTCCTGTGTAGGTCATACTCATCCCACTGCTGTCCCTTCAGACTCCAATAACCAGGGTTTTGCAGGATGTTTATTTTCATTCTGCAAATGTGGAATACAGTTCTCAACATAGCCTAGAGGCAGGAAAGGGAACTCTTCTGCAAGACAAAGGGCAGGCTTAAGGCCTGGGATACAACAGGGTTTCTCTTCTCATTTGCTGGCTGGTAGCTTGACCTCTAAATATTCATGATGTAGGGACTAAGTTCAGGCTCACTGCTGTGGATGGACTCTGCCCAATTCTTCCACTTCCTAAGAACAAGATCTTAGGCCCACAGAAAGTGTGTTTAGACATCTGTCTTCCAGCTTTCAGAAGGTGCCACAGTTTGGGCTAAGGCAAACTGTGAGCTTCAATTTGCCTATGAGCTCCAGAAGCAGAACGCAAAAACAAGCTTATCTGAAGGCTGCAGCATGGATGAAGTTACACAGTCACCATTACCATGTCACACAATGGGGTATAGGAGAGAGAAGGAGCTCTTTGTTTTTCATCTTTCAATTTCTCTCACAGCACCCAACAACTTCACTAACAGTGCAGGCATGAAGTTGGCCACTACAGACCCTCAGGGCTAGTTCTGCTTGGAGAATTGGAATTCCCACTCCATGAATTCCTGTATCGTGCATGTCTTTCACGAAAAATTCATTCAGCTTTGGAAAAACAAAACAAGCCAACAACTTCCCCAGTCACAAGAAGATGAGCTCGAATGTGACTTTGAGTATCTGCACTGAGCCACTTGGAAACATCACGCACTGAGATGACAAAAGGCAATGTCCAGGTAGAACATCACCCATCACCCAAGGTGGAATTTTACAGCACTAGCTCAAAACAAAGTTGAAAAGCAAAGAACAGGATGAAAAAGCCAAAATGAGGAAGGGAAGATAACACCAAATCTGAGGTTAACAGCAAAACCTAACCAAATGGACATCTCCAGACAGAAATATTAAAGTCGAGAAGCATGAACCAAAAGAGATTCAAGATGGAATTCTCAAATTAGAGCAGAACAAAATTAGTTGAGAAACAAAACAAGAGACAAAATGGGACTCGAGCAATGTTGAAGAAAGTTTTGAAAAAGTGTTCTCACCAGAGAAATATTTTTTAAAAATCTTTTATTTGGCAGAAATATTAACATTTTATTAATTTATAATTTTGTCAACCTGGTATAACAAAAGAGGCTAAATTCTGATTCCAAAATCACATGTGCCGTCATGCCAGCAGTCAGATCCCAAAAGTCAGACATTGATACATTTCCAAACTGCAAAATTTCTAAGCCAATCTAAGCCTGTTTACTTGCTGTCTGGAGTATAAAGCTATGAACAAGGTTTCCATTGTGTTTGGGTTTGATTTCAACATCCTGTCTGGAACATTCAGCTCATGTTTTCATGCTTTTCTATGCAACCATGAAGGTTAGAAACTTACTTTTTTAAAATGATAAAATGGAGTTTCTTATTCAATATCTTCCTTCCAGCAGCTGGGATTTTAAGAAAAAAATATATACAACATCCTGAGACTGCTGACAAAACCATAAGGCTTGGTAGCCACTGCAATATGCCATAAAAAAATACTGCTTTCCATTTCACCTTCACACATAACTCTCTTATTTGTGTAATTCAGACTCTATTCCAAAGAGTTTACGCAATGTTTGCTGAATCAGTCTACTAAAATGAACTATTTGCAACTTCTTTAAAGAATTTCCATTAAAGTATGACTTGGATAGCTCAACAACAAGCATATATCATTGATACTACAGCTGTCACAGACAAACATCTGTGCTTGGATAGGATCAAGACATTGTTTTATGGAGAAGCAGTGCTCCCAAAACCATCACAAATTCACATAGTGCCAGATTTTATGTTCACATTTCAAAGTAAACTCAAAAAAGTGGAAAATCACAAGTAGACATGAAGCTCCTTAATTATTCTATCGAGAGCTTAGAAGAGTCCCCTCCTGTGTTTGTTCTGGCAAATACATGAGATATCCAAGCCTCATGAAAATGCAAGTGTTAGAGTGTGTAAATAAATGATGAAGCGAGTTCTTCCACTCTAGAAGAGCCCTGCCTTTTTTGCCTCTGGATATTCACACACAGATTCATACCAGCATATGCTGGTCTTCCAATATATGTCCCCAAATTCACCCTGACTTGAAACATTTCCCCTGACCTGCGCTAGGTTTACTATTGCAGGAGTCTTGCTGCTTTGATGCACCCTCACAGGTTAGACAGCTTTCCAGGACATGCCTTCTTCACCCAGAGTTTTGGTCCTGTGACACAGTTGTGTTGCAAACCAGGATTCCTTCAGGCTAAGAAGCTGTTCTGATGGTCAATGATATACAAGATATATATTCTTTAGATATAAATTTCTAGTGAAAATCTGGAGAGGAAAAATTCTTCTGTCAAAATGCAGCCTGTTTCAGCTAAAAGTGGAACTCATTTCACAGCTGCTGCAGCACTGAAGACAATTCATTAATGTTAAAGATCCCTTACATGGTTCAGGAGAAAGAGAGGACACTTCATTTGGCACCAGCATGAGTTCACACTCCACTTAAAATTCCCGCATGCTGGAGTGAGAATCAGGTTCTGCACCCAGAGCAGGGAGCTCACCAAGAGGGAGTGTTTTGCAGATGATGTCTCTCTCTGAGGTGGCTGTTCAGTTCAACTGGTTTGCTTTTCAGCAAGATGGAGCTCACAGCATGTCAGACAGCACAAAGCTTCTGCCTTGCTTGGCAATCCTGCCTAACTCAGCACTCCCAAGAAAAAAACAATACCCTGGGGGCCTCCTACAAACTCCCTAGAGCTGCTGCAGTCTCTTATTTCAAACAGGGACATACATGGCCAAGCTGTACTTAGGACTGCTACAATTTTCTATTTCTAGCTTGGGGAGATCATGCTTGATGTAATGCTACTGCCCTGTGCAGCCAGAGATGATCGTGACCAGAAAAGGGTGAATCTGCAACCAGATTCTGTGTTGCAGAACAGGCTTGTCTCCAGGATTAGGATAGTATTTCCAGACAGCTAACTCCAACCAAAAGCAGAAGGAAGCCACGTCAAACTGAAAAGTGCCAGAGCTGTGTCCTTGGTTTCCTGGAGAAAAAACTTGCCTGGCAAGTCTCTTGAGGTGTGCTTCAACTCTTCTCTTTGTATACTACAGGAATATTTGTTGAGAACGTCCTTTGCTCTGACAGACCAGCTGAGGACATGGATAGGAGTTACACCATATTTGATGCTGCTTTTTAAGAATCTCTAAGAAAGGACACTAATTTCTTTCCCAAGGAACTTGGTCTTCTGGTTTGCTATCCTCATCCTTGGAAACATTTTTCTGATTTCAAACTCTGATGTCCCTTGCTATAATCTAATACTAAGAGCTAGCAGGAACACAAGAACACATTATTATTCCACAGCTGACTTCACAGATTTTTGGAGATTGTTATAACCTCTGAAGTCCTCTCTTCCTTGAATTAAACAGCCTTCCAGTTCCCTCCATCTTCCCTCGAAAATCACACTTTCTAGACTAACCTAGCTTTTCTGATTAGCTCTGGCCCCACTTCCCCTGTATTATGACTGCCCATCAGTGGTCAGCATAATGAAACTTGCAGGCAACCCACCTCCCAAGACAACCTGCAGGACTCCAAGCAAGAAGCAAAAGGAACAGAGAAAAACAAGCCTAGGTTTGCACCAGACAATTTTCAGAGCACAGTAAGTTGCAATAAAAATTCCCACAGCACTGAGCTGTGTATTTCCTCTTGGCTACAGCCAAGTGTGACACTCACTCATCATCTCCAGCCAGCAAGGCAAGGAGAGGAAGGAGCCAGTCTTTGGGGCATAGTCACACAGCTTACATCCACTGGTTGGAGGCTCTACAGGGAAGGGCTGTTGTAAATATACAGCTACTGCTGCTTTTTTGAGGTACGTTTGCTACTGTTGGCAGACAGGTCCTTTGTTGAAGAGGCTCTAACATAGGACAAGGGAGAGTAGATCTGATGAGCTGTGACTGTTGTGAATTCTAGTGCTTTATTCTCCTCAGCCCTCAGTTCCTTTCAGATTTCTGTCAGGCACAGGGCACCACAGAAAAGGGGTGTCTAAACAAAAATGGAGGAGATGGAGCAAATTGAGAGCAGTTGCAAGGATGGGCCCTTCAAACTCTGCTAGAGCCAGGAGCTGAGGGCATTAGTTTGCTGATTCATCTCTGCCAAGATGCCATGGGGGTGGCCACTGCTCCTTGGCCAATATCTCACAGGCTCCAGGTGAGCCAGAGCTTCCTCACGCTCTCAGCATGGTTAACGGGCTGGGAGGAAAGACGCAGAAGGAAAGTGTCTCAGTTTAAAGAGACTGGAGTGTTTTGCTAAGGAGGATGAGTTATGAGGTAGACCAAACTCTTCTCTCTCAGAAATTGTAAAGCCAAAATTAAGAGGCTCCAACCCAGGAAGTATGGAAAAAGGAAGAAATAACAACCCTTTATTAAAGGATATATGTATATTGGCAAAAACAGTAACAGAACACAAAAACAACTAAGCAATAATTCTGTATCCAGAAAGTCCCCTTCAAAAAGGAGACAGCCTGATACTTCTATCCTCTAGCGCAATTCTAATCACGGTTGGCAGGGGGCGCTGTTGGATCGCTGGAGGTGCAGAGCCTGCAGTGCTCTGTGGTGGCCTGCAGGGGGCGCTGTTGGATCACTGGTGGTCGCCACGTGGGGGCCCCGGATCACGGGAGGAGCCGAAATGGAGATCTCCGCCCCCACCAAGGAGGGGAAGGGGAAGAAAGGGAAAAGAAAGGCGATTTCTTTCCCACTAAACTCACGCTGTCTGCGACTGGCTGTAGACAGGACTCCCCCTTTGTTCGTCAGTGGGCACAAACTCTACGATGAAATCTGAGCAGATTCGGCTGGCAAGAGAGCAGACCGTAGACAAACCGAGGCCGGAGAACAGACAGATGACCAGGTCGAGAGCAAAACGGCCTCCAAGCTTTTCCAACACACCTTGCTCCCCTTAAGGCACAAAGTGAAGCGCTGTTTTCCAAGGAGAGGAGGGGAGAAAAACTTCCCACCCCCTACCCAGCCCCAGAGAGGGCTATCAGGCTGGAATGTAGTTCTGCTAGCCAGCTCCTTTGTGTAGATAATCACCCAAGGCAGAAAACTGTCCTCTCCATTCAACATCCCTCCCCCACATGCAGCAGGGGAAAGAAAAATTCCCGTTTGGTTTTTTAGAACAAGTAAACCCATGACAGAAAGCAAGACATCAATCACATCAGCTTCAGAAAATGGAATGCAGTCATTTTTCCAAACTCACGATAGTGTTCAGACTAATTTTTCAGTTATGAGTTTCACATATTGAATGAACTATACCAATTATCTTTTCCTCCAGGTGTGAAAGACTTTTCTCGTCAGCAAAGCAGAAATGTGGGAGGATGAAATATGTGTTTGCAAAAATGCCAGGTAAGAGCAGGAAAGGAAGTAGGCATTGGAAGGGAGGAGAATGGATGGAAAAGGCCAGAATTACATTGTCTGGGGGAGTAAATGCTTCAACCCTGCAATCAAACAGAAAAAGTGGTATCACTGGTGATTACAAACCCAAATTAGCACAAAACTAAACTTACTGGATGTGCCAACACTCTTTCCAGAAGCACAAGTGCTACATTCTTCTGTAGGTCAACTAGCAGCGGGAGTGTGCTGCAGGCAGACCCTCTCAAGTCCTGCTATTCTATCAGCAAGACTGTCCAAAATCACCAGAGTGAGAAAAAATGCACTGCTGCTATCAGCTTTCCACCTGCTCACTGTGTTTTCTCTCATTAGGCAGCATCAATATTCCCAGCCTCAATGTTCTCCTTCTTCTAAGAAGCCTGCAATGAAGGGGCAAAACTCATCCAAGCACTAAAAAAATATTTTTTTTTTAAGGCAGAACAAGCACCAGAGTCCAGTCAATACTACAGAAGCTGGGATGTAGTGGAGACTGAGGGACTTTTTTGCAACGTTGGTCTATTTCCTTACCCTTGGTGTAGAGAATGGGAGCTCTCTGGTGGCAAAATGTGAATCTGCAAAGATGGACTTTCAGTGGCCCCATACTTTTCTCTGCTCATGTGGAAGTCTCAAGAGGTAACAGGAAAACAGTCCCATGCTGCCCTCTCCTAGGGCACTGAGAGCAGTCAGACCTAAACAATGGACACCGTGATTTCTAGTGCAGGGGTGCCTGTTTCAAAGCCCAGCACAACTCCTAGTTCACAAGCTCTTGCTCATGACCCTGCATCCCTTTCTCCAGCCCAGGCATGCAAGCTGTGCTGGGACACACATTCAGAGGCCAGGAGGTACCTGTATTTGATTAATGACATAATCCACAGCAAACAGCCAGATAAGTGGTTTTTTAGGGCCTGCTGTGGCTCCAGCTCAAAGAAAACGGGGGACAGTACTGCTATGGGAATCTGAGATCCTAATGAGACAACAGGAAAGCTGATGGGATGTCTCGTGAGAAGCCAACAGCAAAATCAAAGGGAAATGCATTAAATTGGTCTGCTTGGAGAAATGCTAGCATCTGTGTAATCTGCCAGCCCAGGGGAGAAACACCTCAATCCTCATCATCCAGGTTTCACAAAATGCCAAAACAGAAGCAAAACCCAGCCAAAAAAAAAAACAGAATTTGGGTGAAAAAGAGCTTGGACTGCCATGATTTTCACAAAATAAGAGGCCTCCACTTTTCCCTACCTGATTTTTGGCACTGCCTTCTTAGGCAACAGTCAAGATTAAGTGTCCCATAGCCCTCAAACAGTTTGGAGTCTCGTGGGATCTGGAGGACCCAAACCACTCCATGTCATACAGAGAGCTCAGGTACAAGGTTTCCCCTTAAGGCCCACCTTGACATCTGGTTCTCAGTTGTGTGCCACTGCTCCTCTCTGCCTCAAGAACAGCAGATTCACAGTCTGGATACATCTGGCATCTCTGGCCCTTCCAAGGGACCTGGAAAAGAGAGGCAACAGTGAAATATCAGCAATCTTTTCTGGCAAGTGCTCTGACTTGCAGCTCTAGCATGCAGATGAACTGTGTCCATGCAACCTTGGACAGCTGTTTATACCTCCTAGCCCAGGGCAGAAGTCTTCCATCCAGCTGCACCTCCAGAAGGTGTAGCAACACCAGGAGTCTTCATGGGCTCAGATGGTGATGAGTCAAAATCAGAAAGGATGAAATCCACAGAAGGTTATTAAAAATAGAGGCACAGTGCCAAACTCAAGACATTCCTGCCTGCACACTAGATTCTGTCAGCTGACTTTGTCCATCCTTCCCCACGCATGTCCTGCCAGGAAGAAGATATCAGGCTAGACAGATCTCTGATCTGATCCAGGACATGTCTAATGGGAGCAGAGCTGTCACATCTCAGGCCATAGCAGAGAATCTGTCCTTTGGCAATGCCCTCTGCAGCTCTGTAACGCTTCTTCCCAGTCTGAGAAATTGTACCATGCTCCAGGAATGACCCAGAGCTGGACACATTTGTCAGCTTAAGCCTCTCTGTAAGAAGTAATCGCAGCAGCTGGGGAGAAACAAGAACATCAGGCAGGTAGGCAAAGCCACAGAGGGGCCTAAGGCCTTAGAGAGGAAAAAACAAAAAAAGGGAGAAAAAAATAGTTGGAGACTACTAGTCAGGGCTGCTCTCCGACAGACATGCAGACAAATTCTTTTCACACCACCAGATGGAGCCGTGTCTTCAGTCACCAGCAGGCAGCTGGTCTGGCAGGGGACAACAGCCCTCTGCTCCCTCCTCCACCTGCGTTCGATGGGCATGTCCTCAAACTGCAAGGAGAGGGCAACGGCAGCCTTGCTCTACCCCAGGGCCTGGCCTCCCCAGCGGGGCATCTCACAGCTGCAGGGCCACCTCCACCCTGAGCCACTGTGAGGCTGAATCTGGGACTGAGTCAGTTGGGATCCAGGAGAGGAGGGTAAATGAACTGCCTGCCCACAGCTGAGGCCCCTGGAGCTGGAGTGAAGGTCAGAAGCACCTTTTTGAGCACAGCAACAGCAAAGCATTGTATCTTGGGAGTAAGACTTCTGTGATGGGCAATCTGACAGGGGAAGCACTGTCCAGGAGTTGTGTGCAGTTTTGGTCACTGCAATATAAGAAAGATATTATTAGAGAGAGTCCAAAGGAGGGCAACGAAGATGGTGAAGGGCCTTGAGAGGAAGCTGTATGAAGAGCGGCTGAGGTCACTTGGTCTGTTCAGCCTGGAGGAGACTGAGGGGAGACCTCATTGCAGTTACAACTTCCTCATGAGGAGAAAAGGAAGGGCAGGCACTGATCTCTTCTCTGTGGTGACCAGTGACAGGACCCAAGGGAATGGCCTGAATTTATGTCAGGGGAGGTTTAGGTTGGATATCAGAAAAAAAGTCTTCACCCAGAGGGTGGTTGGGTGCTGGAACAGGCTCCCCAGGGAAGTGGTCACAGCACCAAGCCTGACAGAGTTCAAGAAGTGTTTGGACAATACTCTCAGGTACATGGTGTGACTCTTGGGAATGGCCCTGTGCAGGGCAAAGGATTGGACTTGATGATCCCTGTGGGTCCCTTCCAACTCAGCATATTCTGTGACTGGCAACCTGTGCTTCCTGGCCTCCTTTAGAAATGCAGCTGCAGTCATGCTTCTTGCCAGCATCCACATACAGCGTGTTGGGTGACAACCCATCAGGAGAACTGAGCTGTGCCACTCAAGCAATGCAAATGCTCAGAAAGAGATCAGTGGTTGCTGAAGACTGGAAATACGCAGGCTCACCAAACTGGTTCATCCTACCACACCAGCCAGCCTTTCTCCACTCAGCATGCCAGAAAAGAGCCAGCATGCCAAGCACAGGCCACCAATACAGATGCAGACACAGAGAACAGGTCTAAAGAGGGGGGTGGGAAAGGAATGTTCCACTCACACTACCCAGTTTTTCAGTGGAGACTTCCCCATAGCCACGTCCCTGGATAAGACCTACCACAGCACGTACACATAGCTCACCATGGCCCAGTTGTCAGCCCAGGTGGCAGAGCTATAGCTATCAAGCCACTCGACTCCATTCATGATCTATGCACAAAGACCACATCCTGCAGGATGATGGCACCCACAACAGAGACAGGAGAGAGGTCAGGGATGCTGTCAGAGGCTCCCATCCATACCTGTGTGCTGTCTGCCTGCACACTTGCAGGAAACACAGTGAGACCCTCTTCTTTTCCAGTTTGTCTCTGCAATGTCCTTCTACTCCTACACCTCACCTTGCACAGTCCAAGTGGTAGAAGTGGCAAGGAGTGTTGTCCATTTATGTGTGAGGCAGATTCATCAGGAAAGCAATGCCCTTTTTTAGACTGCCTGATATATTGGAAGGCAAACAAACCTAGTATGCTTGCTCTCCCTTGTACCTACCTGGCATATCCAGCTTAGACCCACCCAATCCCTGGCTGTGCACTGCTGGCACATCCAGCTTAGACCCACCCAATCCCAGGCTGTGGGCAGATTTGTCCTGCAGCCTGCCCCAGTTGTGCTCCACAGGCATTGGCAGTGCTGTGGCTTCTTCCAGCATCACAATGGCCAGGGCTGTGTGCTTTGGAAACAAGTGCTTACCTCTCTATACCTGCCTCTGCAACTCAGGCCTGCAGTAACCACCCTAAATTCTCGTAGCACTCCCCTCACACACCACTGCATTCCCAGAAATCACATTCAATGCTACTTCATTATCTTCTGACAGTTTTGATGGGCCTTCGCTATCCTCTAGCAAATCCTCCACAGCTATAAGGCTTCTGTTGATGAACATCCTAATCATGGTCTCATTGCTTCCTTTTACATTACCCCATGTATTTCTTATGGTTAGACAGTAAGCAGATTAGGGTGGGGATTTTCCAGTCTGTGCCTGTACCTTGCATGTTTGGTGACACATGGGATAGGGCTAATTCACATGCCATCTAATCTTACCCTCAGAAGCCCTCCTTGTAATGAACTCCCAATTTTAACCACCCCAGTAACAAGAGCCCAACTTTCCCCCATTCCACAGTGCCAAACCTAGACAGGTTCAGTAAGTGGCCGCAGTCCTGACAAACACAAACAGGCCTGCAGTTCCCAAGCCAGAACTGCCATCTTGCAGGAGCAACACGCGTTCAAAAGGTTTCTTTGTTATTCTGATGCAGCTAAGTGCAAACTCTGTCTAAGAAAATCAAACTGCTACAACAACCTTCTGTCTAGGTCACAGCGTGAGAGGAATAGGGGTTAATTTAGTCAGGAAATAAAATAATTATTAATAGCATTGCAGATAGCAATTGCTAATGGCATCAGCAAACACCTCCTCACCTGGAACAAAGCCCATATAAGCCAAAAATGCTTATTCTCCTAGAAATTTCTGCAGCCATTGCATATTTGCTGTAGCAGCATTATCATCTTACAAGTGCAGAAAAGAGATGGCCTGAAGGTTAGGGTGTTACCCTGTAAGGGTAGCAAAGGCTTCATTGGACTTACCACAGATTTCCTGCCCAAGGCTGGGAGAGTTGTGCAGCCTCTCTCAGCTCAGCCCTCCTCATCTATAAAAGGGGCTGCAGCCCTGTCTCACAGCAAAAGCTCAGGAGCATAATCACAGTGAATGCTGCAAAGCTTTTAGGTAATGCAGCCAGAGATGCTGCCTAAAGCTTTACCCACTGGTTAAGACAAGTTCAAGGCCTCTGTGCTCAACATGAGCCTCCCTTCTCAGACTGACAGGGTTTAAGATCCAGTTCACATGTATGCAGGGAAAACATATAATTTTAAGTTTTGCACATTGCCTGTTTTGACAATTTAGGGGAGAGTTGAGCAGCAACGAGTCCTTAAGCTGATTCTGGGGCAGGATGCATTTCATTCTCACCATACAAAGTATTTCAGACAGGCCCTTTAGTGGCAACAAAATCAAAGGGAAAAAAAAAAAAAGATAAATAAATAGATAAGAGTAGCTTGATGACATTCTTGCATACTTAAATTAACATAGAGCTGTTCCACTCCTGAGCTGCCTTCTTGTGCTATTTCCTCCTTTGTTCTTCTAGTGGAAAAAAATGCCCCAGGGATGATGAAGCATTGGGCTACCTTCCCCATCGCACTCAATCCAGAAAGGTTCTGATGAGAGCTGCTTTCTGATGAAAATTAACCCAGCAGCAAGCAGGGTCAGATTTTGGTCCAGTTGTTCATAGCCTGCAGTTTTTACCATATGGAAATTAAAAGGATTGCAACCTGCAGCAATTGTGGAAGTTGACAGCAAATTAAAAGGAATATGAGTTCTGGCATTCATCTGTAGCAATTTAGGACAGCCTTTTCATTACTGTAAAAATAGTAAGTATTTATAAACAACACCTAGCTCTGATCTGCACTAAATCTCAAATTGCAATATAGAAAAGGCAGGAACAAAGTTAACGCTTCAAAACCAGATATCTATTGTAAAGGGGAAAAGCAGCTTGCCCAGTTTCACTCCATGGGCTAGGACAGAGCATTGGACCAGACACTGGGCTCTCAGTTCCTGCATGCTGTCTGCTGCACCTCACTGCCTCCTTAGAAAAGGAATGGAGCATCACAGCACTTTCTGGAAATCACCTTTAGGTTCTTCTTCTCACCCAAAATTTCCCTTTAAATATTTACTCCAATGCACCTACTAAACTGAATGTTTTAGCAATGCACAGCAATAAGGCTCCTTGTGGCTTTGTTTCTGCCAGTGAAATAGCTACGAATGTAAGGTTTACAGAAACTTTCTGTTCCTGTCTAAAATTATCTTTGCTGATCCTTCTGACGCCAAAAGTACAGAACCAATATTCCATAAGTCATGTGAAAAAGGGACTACATTTCAAGCACACACAGCTAGTGTGGTTACAGTACCATCAATCAGCCATGACCAAAGCTCTGGGCTACCACCATGCCAGGCCTCACACAGGGGGACACCACCTGTTTCCTTTGCTGTGTGAGACAGCACATAGAGTCAGGGCCTGATCCTGCCATCTGGGTGCTTTGCAGTCATGGGGTGGTTGTCCAGCCTAAGAGAAGTCTCTGTGATCCCTGCTCGAACTGCAAGATCAGGGTAGAAATGTTTGAAAAACAGCAGGTGGATGCAGCCCGATGGGGAAAGCGGGGGCTAAGAGGGAGACAACAGTAATTAGCATAAGTAGCGGCAGCCTCGGCTCACCAGCTGCTTTGCCGATTGTCTGCCTCCCTGATTTCAAACAGCAAAGAAGCAATTTGCCAAAGAACACAGTCAGTAGCTAAGACTGCCCCTTAGAACTATTAGGGAAAAACAAACGATTTCCATGGTACAAAAGCAAGGCTTGCAGGGCTGTCATGTAGGAGTTTGCCTAAGTAAGGTATGGAGCACGCAGCTCAAAACAGCCACCAAATACTTCAGAGCGAAAGGCTAAAAAAGGAAGGTTTTAGAGGAGGAAATGAGTCAGTAGCTTGGAGGACAGGAGGGGGAGTTCAAATAGCTGAGGCATATAAAGTAAGCAAGTAGTCACCCTCTCAAATGTGATTCTAGCAAATGCTAGTCAGTGAGGCAGATGTATTGATCTGGGGTTTCTGTTGATGCAGGGCCTCATACAAAAATGGAGTCTATGGGTGACTTTTTATATTGACCACGCTGGATTTTGAAGCGATCATTCACTGGACAGACACTTGTGAACTGCACTTTCACAGCAGTGTTTCTGCCTGGAGCCAAAGCAGTCACCACCAGCTACAGGATTGCTGAAATTTCTCAGGGTCCCCTACGGCTAGGGGATGGATTTTTTGGGGTGGGGAGGGGGAAGTTTCAGGCTAATTGCAAATACCATTTACCTTAAAAAAGGGAGGAGAATTCATCTTTCAAGATTGGTTCATCCAAACATACAGCTTGAGCTTTCAGCCTAGCTTATTTATAGCACTAACACTAGGAAAAAAGGACAAAGCTTGTTCAGTGTTGAAAGGCAGAAGAGCTAGTAAAGAACCCCTTCCTCTCCACAGTGCTGTAGCAATTCACAGCATTCACGTCTGTCTTTGTAACAACCTTGTAGTGCACTGAAAGGTGAGGACAAAGGGGTAAGTCTCACTGCAGGAGCCTTTAGCCTTGCTCACTCATACACCATAACAGCTGGCCATAACACGGGTGTGCAGCGCACAGTAAGCAGTGGGAGGGTTACTGTCAGTGTGGCAATAAGCCACAAGGCACAACTTCCTCACCTCTGCTCAGGTCCCTATCCCATCAAAAGGGTGGGATGATGGAAAAGGGACCTTGTAAATAGAACCAAAATTTCCTCCTGCCCTTCCCAAAACAGGAAGCTTCCCCTCATTTCAGGCACCAAGACAACAGCTGTGCAGCAGCCGTTAGAGGACCCTGTTGCAAGCCCTCGCTGAGGGAACTGCAGGGCTGCAAACAGGGGTGATGCTTAAGGTCACAGACATGTGAGGAGAGGGCTGTCAAATGAGGGAGCAGCACAGGGCTGGAAAACCAGACTCCCTTTCCCCTATGCAAACAGCAGCACAGGATTTACATGCAGCAGTGGTTCCCAAACCACGACATACATACTGCTAATCCCAAGCAGGCAGCTCTCGGTGCAGGGCTGGAGCTCCCAGTGCCAGTGCTGCTACAGCACGAGGAGTCTGTGGAGCCTATGCCAAGGCAGGCTGGTACCACCATAACCACAAACTTGTCTGTGCATCTTGGTGTACAGCTCCTGCCTCGAGCTTCTGCAAAGCACCACAGCCACTGTGTTTATGCCTCACTAGGCTATATGCTATTTTGTCTTTTGGGGAATGCAATCATTCAAAAAGCCATCATGGTTCTTGGTGAGTGCCCTTCCCAGAGCAAGCACTTTTCTCATGAGACAGGAAAAGTGAGAGAGATTTCTCTTACTCTGCTGGTGAAGGAGTTCCTGTCCTCACTGAAGTTTCTTTAACCAGTTATATACCTTCTCAACCCACTGCAGGGTTTCCAAAAAGACCTCTTGAAACAGTGAGCCAACGGGCCAGTTCCAACTCATTTTCCCTTATAAGTATACAACATGAAACAGTCCCAGCCCTGTTCTCATGACTTTAACATCATCTCTTCCCCTCCTCCCCAGGATGTCTCACTTCTGTAACCCTCTGTCATAGCGAAACTCATCTATGAAGAGCAAGCTTGGAACAGTAACAGAGAAATTACATCAATTAAGACTAAAAAGCACAGCTGCCCTAGGTCTCTGCTACATGCCACTGGAGATGGAGGTCAGCCATGGCACTGCCATATGGCACTGATCCCCACCGCCAAACAGAGCCTGCCTTTGATTTCCTCTCCCCACCAGGACAGTCAGAGCAAGGAAGCAGGACCACAAGTTGTCCAGAGAAACATACTCTTAGGACTGAAGCTCTACCTATTACACAGGCATTATATCTGACTTATCTCAAAAGAAAAAATCAAACATGTCCCCGCTCAATTCTTGCCAATACTTCCAAAGTAAGTCAACATTTGGTTTCAAATGTAAGCATTCCAGGATTAAAAATATCAGAAAAGACGCTAAAGAAGAACTACCCCCTCAGTCCAATTCAAGTCCAAGTCTTTGCTAGTTTCACCAATCTGCTGCAAATTCTCTTACAAAAGGAATCCCTGGTCAGACTAAGTCACCCAACACAAGATGCACTAATGCAATAGCACTGCTTTTTCAATACATGAATCTTCAGTATGGGGTCTTTCAGCAACTTCTATCTAATGTGAACAGGCTTAACAGCATCTACAAAGGGCATTTACTAGGGTAGGCTGCAAGGAGGGGAAAAAAAAATCAAACCCCTTTAACTAGAACAGCAATATGGATGAAAATTGTAAGGTGTGTAAGCATGGCTCACACCTTTAGAATTAAAGCTTCATGCTAGTTGCCTCATACCCAAGACCTGAAAACATGCCATCGAGTCTTGGTTTTGTTTTCTGCATACAAGTAGGCACAGACTTAACAAATAAGCTTGATGCTGGGAGTTTTTGCTTATTGATTCAAGCCGGGAACATCACTGTAGTCAGGATTCAGTAATAAAACCTAACTTTCTATATATTTTGTAACATCAGTAGGTGCCTGTATACTCTGTTTATGAGCAGCCTACGCTTCACTGCCTGGAAACATTAAGGAATGAGTATTTTCGTCGCGGTCAGAGTGAGCAGGACTGCCATGAACACGGAACAGCAGCTTCTCCGAGCGCCCCGGTCTCCCTAGCAGCGTTTTCTCAGGATCAGCTTTGTCCCGAGGACAAAGCTGGTTGTTTCGGCCATCTGGATGAAGCCGACGCCGGGATCCGGGATTCGCGGGTGCCGGCGGGAAGCGCAAGGCTCCTGCTGCAGCAGCGCGAGCCAATCAGGAGTGCCTAACTGAGATCGCACCAAAGTAGGTAGTGAAAAACCCTCGAAGGAAAAAAAAAAAAAAAAAGAGAGAGAGAGAAAGGAAAGTCCCACACTTCCGCCTCGCCGGCTCTTCCGCCCGCTCGGCTCTGGCCGTTTCTGCTGTGGCCGCCTAGCCCCGCGGGCTTCCCGCCCGCCCCACGGCCATCCCATGGACGCCCCCCGACCCCTCACGCCCATCTCAGTCCCTTTCAGCCCCGCTTTCAGCAGCCCAAATCCTCCTTACGCCCTGCTGACAGCCGCCCCCCATCCTTTCCCACACGACTCCCTCAGCCCCCACTCTCCCCTCGGCACCTTCCCCGCCGCGCCGCACACCTTGGGGCAGGTAGCCCCGCCTCACCTCTTTAAGAGGGCGCCGCCATTGGTCGGCCGAAGCGTCAATCAGCCGGCGGCTCCCCTGTGATTGGGCAGTTCTGCCGGGCGGCAGGAGGGGGCCGTGTGTATGGGCTGCGGGTGCCCCCTCCCCGCCCGCGCGTGCGCGCGGGGCCAGGGCGTCGCCACGCGGGGCTCCCGCCATAGCAACCGCTTCCTCCTCCTCCGGGCACAGCGGCCGTGACGTCGGCAGCGCTTCCGCCCGGCTCGCGCCCTCGCCGCTTCCCTTTCTGCCGCCGGAGTCCGCGCCGCGCCCAGACACCCGAGAGGAGCCGCCGCCGCCGCACCGCGCTCCGCCGCCCACCCGCCCGCCGCGCCCAGCCGACGCCATGGTAGGGATCCGGGCGACGCCAGGAGGGCGTTAGGCTTTTCCCTCTCCCGCCTTCATCCTTGAGGGAAAGTGGGGAGGGGGGCGGCGGTACCGCCCGCCGCATCCTGGCTGGCGCCGCCACTGGGCACGGCGGCACGGCGGTATCTCGCCCCCCTCTTCTTCTCCTTTCCCCCCCCCCACCTTAGCCTCCCCCAATCCTTCCCGTTCGCCTTTGAACCTGAGGCGGCGAATCTGTTCTCCTCCCTTCCCCCTAGCTGCCGCCCCCCCCATCCCACCATGAGGCGGCGGAAGGTTACTCTCCCCCCGTTGAGGCGATGGAACTGTCCTCCCTCCTTTTCCTCACCTCTCCTTGAGGTGGTGGTACGTTCCGTGCTGCACACAGGCACTGGGGCGGGCGCGTCCATTCCACCCTGTGACGGGGGGGGGGGGGGGGGGGGGGGCGGGCGAGGCGGGAAGAGCCCGTGAGGGGGCGATGCGCGGCCCCTCCCCGCGCCGCAGGGCGCGGCCGGGGTGGGGAGAGGGGCATCGTCGCCCCCGCCCCTCCGCGCGAGGGGCTGCGTGGGAGGGGATCGCAACCTGGTAGAAAGGCACCGCGGGTGGGAGGCCCCTTTTCCCCGGGGCCGGGGGCTGCCCAGCTCGGGAGGAAGCGCGGCCACCGCCGCAGCCGCCCCGGCGCGGTCCCGGCGGGAGCCATCTTCCCACGGCCGAAGGGGTCGGGCCTGGCCTAGAAAACGGCGTCGGCTCCACAGGAAGCCGAGACGAGCACGGGCCCTCCCAGGGCCAGCTGGGATCCTGCTCGCCGGCCCCGGCTGGAGCCGGCAGCGCTGGTAGCGGACAAAAGGGGGGAAGCGGAACCCGCGGAGGGAAGCGCTGATCGTAACAAACAGAGTTTCGTAGCGGCCTCTCGAGGAAGCTTAAATTTTAAGATAGTTGCTGCAAGGACTTGGGTTTTGTGTTGGTTTTTTTTTATTTGTTTTGCTCCTCCGCACAGTGCTGGAAACACTTTAACTAAGACATTATGCTGCAAACATAGAAACGTGTCAAGCATACACACTGACTTTCCTGTGTTTCCAGGCTTTCAAAAAACCAAAAGTGCCAAGGAACTCCTTGCATAAATGGAGCGGAATAGACCAAATGCCTTTTCGACTTCCTGGTGGCTCCCTCTCGGTTTGCTTTGCCTGTGCTCAAAGTTTGCATCCCTATTTAACTGTGGGAGCTGTGACTGGCAAATTCGTCTGAATTACTAGCTCATGCAATTTTAATTCCTGTCCTGTTTTTGCTTGAGTCCAGCAACAGACACTTTTGTGTTTTGACACACTTGTCTGGGTTTTTTGTCTTTATTAGAGGTGTTACATATTGAGGCCTTCTCATGGTATTCCTCATTAGTTTGAATGTGTGGTATATCCAGTAAATGAACTTTTAGTCCATACAGGGCTGGCAGACAGGATGTACTAGTAATCTCCCTGCTTCCTCTAACACCCAAATTGGAGCATCTGTGACTGGTCTGCAACATAGAGCAGAGCTGATGGGAGTTGCAGCTGAAGTTGTTAAAAAGTCTGACGAGACTTGCAGCTCTTGTTTAAAACAGGCTTGTCTCAGCAAGCCAGCTACCACCTCTGCAGAATGCAAACTGAGTTTAGTCTGACTACTTGGTGTGTCAGGCTTCATCTTGCTTTGGAAGTAGAGAATTCCCCAGTCAGTCAAAACTAGTATTTCTCACAGTGATCTTTTTGCAACAAGGGTCTGGGTTGGCTTTTTTGAGATGCTGGAAATGAACTTGCTTATGGGCATTGTAGGCCTTCTGGCAAAATACAGTAATGTCAGCAGGAGGGCATCATTTAGTATAAAAAGAGCATTGGATTTTCTGCTTTTGTGTCTTGCCACAAGGTTCAGTTTCTTTGCTATTGGATTAAATGAGTTCATGGTCTTTGGAGGACCGTGCAAATTATTTTTCTTGGTTGTTAGTCAATACTATTCCCAAATCTGTGTAATTACAAGGTACATATGCCTCATGTACAAGATGACAGCCTCATGACAATTGGTAGTGTGGGTGTCTGGCATGTTCCTACTTGCCTTGCCAGAATTGCTGTCAAGGGGCTCCTGCTGGGTGCAAGGGCTGACCTAAGCGATCCCATGTAGGAGAACCTGCAGGCAGCCAGGACTTGTGTGTGAAGCTGTTCGGAGCTTTCGCTTGCCTGGCTGTTCAGCATTCAGGCAGTGTTCTGGAAGGGTCCTTTATTAACAAGTATCTGTGGTGCCCAAAGCAGGCCTTCAAAGCCTGGTTTTGAGGGTAACTTTTAAGTTTTAGGTTGCTGTAGGTGCCTGGAGTATGAAAATTTTGGGGCTCATTATAGCTGATTTCTGTGCTGAATATGTTCTAAGAAGCTTTAATTTTCTGCAAGAGTCCTGTTGCATGCCAACTTACACCTGCATTACCTTAAAACCTTGCGTTTCAACAGAGGAATGGATGCTACTCAAAACTTCTACCCTGCTACTGGCTGTTTTTCAGCAGTATTGCTGGGATTGCCTTTTGTGGGTATTGCTTTTTCTGCCTACCTTGATAATTAAACTGGGAGTGAACTTCATGGTAGCTCAGAGAAGGAGGTAATTTCCTCTTTGGCTGAAAGCTGAGGAAATGACCTCCAGGAATTCAAGGGATAGTTTTTTCTTATTTTTTAAATGATTTCTTTCTTTCTCATCTCTCCTTGTCGTTAACTGTTCTTGTTGGCGGGGGGGGGAGAAAAGCTGAATAGAGTTCTGATTCCACCCCTCCTCCTGCCAAAAGAGACCAAATAATGCTAAATAAAAAACTTGAGTCTAGCTGGTAAGATCTGTCTACAAGTGATATGCAAATAACTCTGTAGTTCTTGCTGGTTTATGGTGTGCAAATATAGCCTGTTACACAACAGCAGTAAAAGGCAGTTAGTTATGTTTCCCATCATGCTTCACATCTGAATTGAAGCTTTGGACTTTCAGGCTGTCCCCTCTAAACAGAGGTGTCTATCTGTCCGGCTGTAGATAGCAGGGCATGTGGGCCTTGCAAGAAGTCAGGAAGTCACTGGTGTTCCAACACTGATCTTTGGGATCAAGTTAAAGTCGTTGCACCTTTCCTACTCAGTACAGTGGGGGTGGTAGTATCCGATGTGTTTTCTTGAGTGCTCAAATAACAAAAGCAAAGCAGTATTTCAAATCCGTGGTTTTGACCACCTACATTTTCAGTTGGCTTGTTGGCCTTACGTGACACCCTTTTCTGAGGCCTGATTTGGCAAAATTGTCTTCCAGCCTGTTAGTGCAGCCAGGCTGTGACCTCCCCTTTCTGCTCGGTGCTCCCACAACTACGTTAGCTTAATTTGCCCTTCAAGGTCTCCATGCTGATGACGTCCCAGGGCATTATGTTGTGTGGCAGTGTAAGGGACAGCTCTGTGAAGGATGCTGTCCCAGACCAGTTGGGTGGTAGTAGTTTAAATTGAAAGAGTATTTGTTGCAGAGATGTACTATGACACATGACTGAGTCTTATGGAAATGCCACATGGTTACACAAGCAGTTCTGGCAGTGGCAGAGAATTTCGAAGGTAGATAGGAAGGATAATATGCCAAGCATAGGGGAAGCAGTGTTTGCTGAAGAAACTAAGAACCAAATACATACAATAATGTGACTAGCAAACATGGGAGCATAGTGTCCTCAAATCTGCCCTTGCAATTAAACAAGACATACTTTAATAAAGGTCTTGGTGTCAAATTCTGGAAAAATTGATGATGCTTTTCCAAGAAACACCAGTTTCCACTTGAGTACCTGTGAGTAGTATCACCCTGGTGTATACAATGTGTGTGTGTGGTTTCCAGACAAAACAATGTTCTTTAAATGTCTCTGTAGATAATGCATGCACAGGCACCACTACGGAGAGCTCTTGGATTCTAATCACAGGAGAGAAACCCAACAGTGTAAAATGGTCAAGACTTAAAACCAAATCTCATCCTTCAAACTTGTCTTGAGGCAAACTAAGTCATTAGTTTAAAGTCTTCTTGGCTGTCTCACAGTTGAGGAGGAAACAAAGACTCTCCTTAGGTAAAATATTTTAAATATTCAAGGAAAATACTGGAGTGCACAGGATTTCCTAACAAAAGAGAAGGCAAATTTCGGTGTGTCAAAGTTGTGTTTCCATGCAGGCTTGCTACAAATCCAGTTTATAAGGTGTCTGGCATGTATCTCACTCCTGAAACAGGTTTCTGTATGTGGGGATTTTCCTGAGAAAGCTTTGGATTATTCTTTGGTCTTCCCCAGTTAAGATTAAATTTCAGTTCAGGTACTTGGCAATGGAGGCAAAGTGTTGGAAGCTCTTAGTGAGGGCAGCTGCATATGGCTCTTGCAGTAGGAAGCATGCTAGACAGAAGGCTCACTCTTTGGGCTGCCCTGTGTAAGGAGGGCATTCTACTCTTGCAAGACTTCTGCAGTGCCTTGCACTTAAGGCAGGAACAGTGGCTTTGTGTAGGGAATAAGAGCCACTGTGTTACTCTAGTGCATGCTGACAAGGCATTTAATGCAATCATTACGTCATGTGCATGCAGCAGTCCATATGAAAGTACAATGGGGATACTCATATAACTGCCCTGGAACAATATATGGAGAGCTCAGCCCGCAAGACACACCATGTTTGCAATAGTTGCACAGAGGTGCTGGGGAGAACTCATTTTTGCTCATTTCCTCAGAGAAACTCACTCTGTCTGGTCTTGCCTGAGTATCTATCTCCCTCAATACGCTGTACTGGCATCATTTTCCCATCTGGTAATTACGTGACTTGCCTGCTTGCTGCTGCCTTATTTCAGTGAGGTTAAAAGGCCCTGCAGTTAAGGTTCAGTCCCCCACAGCAAAATATCACCAACTGATTCATGGTTATGTATCTCACAAGTACCAGTCCAGAGCTGGATAACTGCTTTTATACTGGAAAAGGAACAGAACCAGACTAACTACTGTAGCTCTACAGTGTTCAAGCCGGAATGCACAAAATAATAATGAATGTGCTGTATTGCATCCTCTAAACAGAGTGGTATCTGGCCAAAGAGAGAAAATCCAGACTAACAAATAAATGTTTAGTCTGTCGTTACTGGTGGGGTGGAGGCTTCTCACCAGCTCTTCTTCTGGA